GCTGGTCGGCTCGAATCGACTCAAACACACAACATCTTGAGTCCAACACAGAAAGATGAGAGAAAGATGTGCCAAAGATGAGAGTATAAAACCTGTCATACTCGCACTTCTTCACAGTTCCCTCTGGTGCAGGAAATTAATGCACAACAGTTGCCAAGTAAGCTGTTGGCTCCTGGCTTGGAGATGCCCAGAGCAGACAACACAAACGCCAAATGAAGTAGGTTAACTCCAAATCCATTACTATTAGCTCCCATATCACAGGCCAAGTGATTACTTTCTGCAGTGAAATGCCAATCTCGCATCAACAAGCAGAAAATTGCTGTGAGAGGAGATTCCCACAAGTTGTCATATTGAGAGTCTTGTCCTGGAATTGTGACAGGGAAAATATTCCATACATGCCATGCAGGGTTTAATTCCCATGCACTCTAATCCATATGTTCCAAATGTTATCTCTCAATGTAACCACCTCCTCTCTGCTCCTCACAGTTCTCAAACCAAGCCCACCAGCCCATGTGTTTTTATAAGGTGTTTTTTTTTGCGCTATGGAGGTTGTTCTTTCCACTTCAGTTACTTAGCAACTAAATGACATATCTCGCAAATAAAAACCTGAGCCCTCAGCGGTGAGAAACATTTGAAAAACAGAAGGAGAGCACAGTGATTGTTGCAATAAATTTGTCTCCCTCGAGCTGCCGCGTTCAAGGTAGGAGTGTCGATGGGGTCTCCAACTTTGATGTGGTAAGATAAGGAACACCTTGCCAGTGGGCCCCATGTCCTCATGAGATCAGACAGCATTTTCTCCAGTCTCAACATGAATGTAGAGGAAATGAAAGTGTCAGAATAAGAGTAAAGCCAAGTTGCATAAGTTATATTAGGGATTAAAACATCGGATCATAGATATTGGAAAAACATTTGGTCTGTCAAACTCTGCATCCTTTACTCTAGTGATGGGTTAGGGTTAGACGGTGTGGTCTCCTGCTAAATGATGCTTCAGGTCGGTCAGTCCACGTACTCCATGACTACAGTTTGGCTTCTCCTCGTTCCCACTGACAGGACTGATCCACTCAAGGTCCGTCTGCCATTGAGATTTACTCTCTTTATGGGTGGACTTGAGCTGAAGGTTTTTAAAAAACCTCATTTATTTCTCCCACTATCTCTTGTGAAACTCTTTTGGTTTTATTGTTGTCTGAATGAATGTAATGTGTGCATCAGATTAGAATGTGAATGAAAAACAGACAAAGACAAGTGTCGTCCTCAAGGTTTTCCTCCCACTATGGACCATTGGAGCGGTTTGCACTTTGCATATCCGGCTTTGGTGGAGTCACCAAAGATCACAAAGGTTAGAGTTGCAGGACCAGAATGACGACTATCTTCGAATGTTATTCATTAGACTGTATGTCACATCACCAACAATCGCTGAATGTGCAAGCCAGAGTTAACTTGTGCATGATGGTCATTGTAATGTGCAATGTGCACACCCCTCCACTGGTATGCAGTAGAGCATGGATGGATGGAGTTCCTCAGCTGAACTAGTTTTTTGAAAAAACCAAAGACTTTTAGAGCGTCTATCAGCTTTCGGAAGTCGTGGCACGTCTTTCCTTTTCTCCAACTGTGGCGACAATAGCTGAAGCTTTCTGACTTCCCAAGTTGGAAATTTGTCCATGAAGAGTACTTGACTTGATTCTCTTGGGGCTCATGTCATCTGAACTAGCTTTGTTATTCTCTTTCTCCAGTTTTGCTTTTAAATAATCTGATTCACAAATGGCACCAAACGGCATTCCTCATTACCATTACCCATCATTCATCTTCATTCCGGGGGTCTACTGTCGGCCCCGGTCGCTTTGCATTTATGTACCCTTACTGTTTGGTAACAAGTGTACCATTATGTTTGGCTCTTTCATACAGGCATAACAGCACAGTAAGCTTCGGTGGAAGTTTTTTTTGCTAGATATTTAAGTCTGTGTTGAAGATTTACGCACATTAAATAAAATAAATAAAAAACCCTCTCTGTCCTTCTTCCTCTCCCTTTCTGTAAGGTGACCTTTAACAAAGAATCTTTCACCCTTCGGATCTATATCACTCTAAAGGTATGAAAAATGGATATGCACCTGAAGTTTCTTTCATTCCTTTAGGCTGTTTGGATACGGGGATGCTGCTTCTCTCGGTGATGCTGCATTTTCTTTTGGGTACTAAATAAAACAACCCTGTTCTACACAGAAAAATCAATAGGGAATTTCATAGCTTTCACCCACTGGTCAGGCCTATTTCATGGAAAAAGCCATGAAGCATGGGAAGGAAGAGGAAGATCAGGGATGAAGAGAAATGTGCCAGAGGTAAGGAATAAGGCATTAGGAATACCTGGTAGAGGAGTTGGAAAGAAGATAAATTAGGTGTCTGTGTTGCTCTGTTGGGGGGGAGAAGCTGTGTCCATTTACTCTCCACTGTTGACTTGCATTACTCAACCCTGTGGTGGAAGGCGGCCATGACAGATAGTGTAGGAATTTGCAGGCTGGTGGCATACAGAACACATTACCTGAAGCGTGAAAACACACTGTTGGCTGGAATTACAAATGATTTAACATCGCTGAGGAGCTCTGCAGCCAGGTGTTCAACAGTAACGATTCTGAAACATATGATTCATCATCAGTATACTGTTGCTTGTTTGCAATCAATTAGATCAGTGCTTCTCAAACTTTCTACACTGCGTACCATCTCCAAGTACCACCATAACGACCGCTGTTAGAATACAATAGCGTAGGACAACCCGATTAAGCTACAGACACAGGAGGCAGGTTGAATCCTGAATGGAACTGGATCAAGAACCAGAGCTAATATGGTGGGAAAGGGGTTCTCCTGGTTCACAAAGCCATTCATTTTACCTCCGCTTACTATCTTGCATCATATTTAGGTCGGACCTAATCATGCATGTATGTGCACTCTACATACATGACTACGTAGCAGGCTGAAATTTAAACAGTATATTACAGGAAATGCAATGTTATAGTATTTTGACAGTGTTTTTCTTTTCGATTAATTTGTTTCATATATATTTCAGAGGTTTCTCCACGTACCACTATTTGAAAGGACTCTGAATCAGCTGGCTTGTACAGTCCTGGGATACTGTTATAATTCCAGGCCAATGTGGCTAAAGGGGACAAAGGAATGAGGACCGCAGGGACCAGTTCTACCTGTTTCAGATGCTCCTGCTGTGATTTGTGAGCATTACTCACAAGCAGAATATGAGTAACTCAAATAGCAGCAGTGTCACGTTTCACAGATGTCATGCAAATATTTACAAGTCCTACAAGCCTCTCACATTCTCTTGCATAAGTCACAATTATGGCTCTTGTTTCACTTAGTTTGTATGTTGTATGTATGTACGTACTGGCACATTGCCCTTATCCAGCAGGGGTAGTTAAAGCTAATTTTTGGTCCCTTGGGACAAAACGCAAATATTGCAAACGCAAGAAACGCTGTCATATTATCAGCTATAAAAAATGTATGGTGAATGTTTTAGCAAATAGTTGTTCATAACAGATAATGTAAGTCCAATATGTGTAAATTGCTCTTTTTTGGTCTCCACCAACTCCTCAGAGAAACATCTGACTCTATCTAAATGCTCTGCTGTGTTTACCACCGAGTCAGTAACTGTGTCTGCTGTTTGGTGCTGGGCAGGTAGTATACAGCTGGTTTAGTGAAGGGTTTTTTTGCGGTGCTGTGAGACTGATCCCAAAAAATTAAAGCTGTGGGCCGTGCTCTGTAGAGCTGAGGGAAACTGCAGGTTAGGGTTATGATCCTCTTTGGATTCATCAAACGAGCGTCCTTTTTCCCATTACACTGTCATTTCACCCATTAATATAAAAAAATGGATCATAGGAGCTTGAAAACTATCGATTAAGATGATGTCACAGGCCTCTTTGTCACTGAAGACATTTGGACATTTGACATGTAAGCTCAGGTGTAAATTATATACAATACTTGCACATAGCTGGTTCTGGTTCAGGGTCCTGGTCTCGTGTCTTACTGCAGCACTTAAATACAACAGAGGCATCGTTCAAGTTATTAGTAACACCTGCTGAAAATGGTGGCCTGGGACATCCAATGAGCAATTGGCTGGCACACCTGCTATTGATTAGCTTAGTTTCCAAACAACTCCACCTGCTGCAGCCGATGGTTTCAAAATAAAACCGAAAGACTGAAACTTACTCTTAAAAATAGGAGGGTAAAACATAAACTAAAAATGGTACATTACAAATCAGCATAGACAGCTTAAATGAATAAACTGTTCAAATATTTAGATTTTCTCCAAAATTAATACAAGGCTCCTAATATGATTTAAAAATGTAAAATAATAATATAATCACACATTTGGGGTTTTACTATTGCTCTTACTCATTACTCTGAAATCAATTACCACAGTAAACAGCACAGCGATCATTAATATTCAGGAAACATAGCATATTTCACTGTGCTCGCTGGGTGTGTAAAATATTTAAAAAGCCTCATGGACTTCTGCACCACTGGAGAAAAAAACAACAAATGTTTTCCTGTTTTTCAACAGGGCAAGATCGATGTCTCTGAAGGATAACTTGAAAAAGAAAATGTATTTTCTCAGTTTTCTGGTCCAAGACCACAGATTAAAGTTGTGGCCTGGCGCGTTGCTATGGCGACCACTCCGGAGCATTCAGCCTCTTCCTCATCCCGGTCCGTGAAATGTGAGTTTGAACTTCCTGAGGGCTTCTCATCACCCCCCACCCCCCCGAGGACTTTGATTCATACCAGAATGTATTCGCTGGGGAAGCGGACTTGCCATTGTTTGTTGCTATTTTATTATTCATCTCCCTTTTTCATGTTTCACTGCTCAATACTTATTCACAGTCCAGCTCTCTTCTGCTTCAAACATTACTGGACGACTAATTCAGAGGCAGATATTTATGCCAGAACCCTGTTTTTTATTAGAGTAATCACACGTGCTCTCACACACATAAACGTAAAGACATAAATCCTGTTTTACCCAATGTTTATTTTTTGTTAAATAATGGACATTTGGCATGAAAAATACTGTACGTTAGCCAGTAACCATGAAACCATGAAAAACAAGACTGCGTCATAATAATCATATCCTACCAGAGATACAGCGAAAGCAAAAACATCACAAACGTCAATAACCTCACATGTAAAACCTCTCACAGACACGTACGAGAGTGTGGTCCTGTTCCAACTAACAGACATTTACACGTTTTATAGTATCACAATGTAGCACAAGCAGGCACCAGATGTGGCAAAAAAAAAAAAGGCTTCAGCAGACCTGGAGACTGCTTTGGTAAACATTTATCGCATGTAGACGCACGGACACACACAGTTTCACCATCAGCTTCCAATGCTAATAAGAGCTAAATATATGATTTCATCACCTTGACTCTGCGCCTGCTCTTCACCTCAGCATTTCTCCCTTTGTTTACTTGCTGGAAGTTTTTTCCTCGAAGCTGAGACTCTAACTTGACATCCATGTTAACACTTAAAGTGCTCCCTCAGAAGGTGCTAAGAAGTGTCTTTAAAAGACCAACTCCTGTCTCTTCTTCCCTCAACCTTTGAGCAGGACGAGGAACAGAGAAAGACACATTTTCCCTTTTCGACAAGGACATACTTTCTTGTCAACGCTCAGGTGCAGAACCTGTAGGCCAAAACAAAATATTTAATTCTGTGCCTGAGGTGAAACTACAAAAATCTCTCTTTTGCAATTATTAATCATTCTGCAGAACAACAAAATACAAAAAAACAAATCCAATAGAGGCACATTTCACCAGCAGCCACCTAGACGTTATAAATAATTGATAAAGAACTAATTTACTTATGAGTGCTTTGTCAGTTTGCTGCTGTATGAGCAAACTTTTAATTGTAGCATTTTTTTTTAAAAGGAAGGATTTTCTGAGCTCAAGGTGAGCGGGGTGTATAATCCTACAATTAAAGTGAAAACATGAAAATCCTCCAAATTAGAGGGTTAACTAAGAGCAAAATCATAATGAGCAGCTTAAAGAGCACATCATCTGCCAGCACTGTTGGCGCTCGTAGAAACTAATAAATGAGCAGGAACGGTTTGATTCGTAGCTTTGAAAAAGTGACACAAATGTTCTTTTAAAGGGGAGCACAATTGAGTCACCGCAAACATGAGGAGGTTACTATTTCACCGCCAGAAAAGTGACATTTATGAAAGATGACACTGCAGTTTATATTTTGTACCGTCACTTCTTTTGTGTCCCGAGTCAATCGAAAAATTTGTTCCACGTGTCGTGCGCGGAGCTATAGAGTCAAATGAGGTTTGCTGTTTTTTTCCTCCCTGTGTGCGCTGCCTGAAGCACCTAATGGGCTTCTTGTTGGGGGAGGTAGAGATAAGAGAGAAACCGACTGTGTGCATGGTCCTATGCCTCCGTCTCATTTCAGTTTCAATTTACATCAGGCATTGTTCTGGGGACAGGGTAAGAATTTGATTTCTCACCCCTGGAGGGGCTTTTTTACCTTGTTTTTTAAGGAGTCTGTAAACTTACTGTGTTATGGTAGTAATCAATTCTTTCAGAAGACATTCAGAGTTACTGAGGAGAGTCTTGCAGTGGCAGAAGTGCTTCTTTATTTTTTTCAATATGGACACATCGTTCGCTGACTTAGATTCTCCACATTTCAATCGTTCAGTTCATTTTATGGAAATTGTGAACACCCAAGTATCAGATGATCAATTCATAATTGATATGTCATTCCACAGAAGTAATATTCATACTGGTTTAAATAAAACAATCTGATAGTATTTCCCATCTTTGATGAGCAAGAGTTGTGTGCAAAAGGAATTGAGTTCAGTGGGTGAAGCAAATAAAAACTTGGGCTATTAATTTAAGTTTTACGGTATTTGCTTACTTGCCGAGAGTTAGAGAAGAATATCAATGCGACTTTCGTGTCTGTATGAAGCAACAGTTTGACAGGAAACAAGGGGAAAGGCTGGGTGGGCTTTTTTCAACTTTGGACAGAGCTAAGTTAAACTAAGTGCCTGCTGGCTTTAACTTGATATGTAGCATTTAGACATTAACTTTTGCCAAACAATTTTTTACCTTATAAGTTATAGTGAGCGAGGTTACTCAGAAGTTTTTGTACTGTTCTTTCATAATGCACATGGCCAGAGACTGAGATTTATTTTGTTATTAGGTAATACATCTACAGGCTATGGAATAAGAAACAACTGTGGATTAAGAGGCTGTTCTTCATTATTCTTGCTCAGCCATGGTAATTGAACAAACTTAACAGTTTGCATTTCATTAAACTATCCCCCAATTTCATAATGTTAAAAAAAAACTTTTGAATACAAATTTAATGGAAGGTGAAAGGTGCACAGACAGTGAAATAAATCCTGACTGAATCCACAAGGCTCTCCGTTGCACCAAGTGCTGGCAAAGATATGGAAATCACTCATTGTCTCCTGCCTTAATTACAAAAGCACACACACAGAGTGGAGGCCGCCAGACAAAGTGTTTAGCGACGAGGCTCTGTTGCGATTTTTGTGTGCCAATTGTCTGTCTGCGAGCCGAACTGCCTTCCACCGCTGCCACCGCCTGTACACTGCTCTCGGACAGTGCTTGTGCCTGCAAATCTCAATCTCTGTCACCCACACGCCATTGTCATTCATGTATTCATACGCCTCTGCAATGAAAAATGATTTTTTTTTTAAAGGAGGGTGGTGGGCGGGTGATGGGGCTGGAGGGACAGGGAGTGCAAGGCGATGGGAGGACATGAAAAAGAGGACCGAACTTGAAAGTGATAGGAAATGACAGCGCAAAGCTGTCAATGTACACCGTATGTAGGACAAAAGTATTACATCACACTGCTTAACACCAATCCAGATATTTTTGTGCTGCAGAGGCAAACTATATCTTAACGGCGGTGTTAAATTATTCACTGCAACACTATCATGCGCATATTTTGTCATAAGGGAGTGAATTTATGAATGAAATCCTGAATCGTTTCCATGAGAATTTGTAATTTGTTAATTAACATAGACTGTCATTATAATAATATCTATCATTGGACAAAGACTGCCTTAACACTGTAGATGAATATATTTGGGTATTTTAAGCTAACTTTGCAGCTGCCATCTTCTCTTCAGAGTTACATGAAACCTGGCTAAACAATGTATAACAGGGCAAAAGCCTGCATAAATCATCAGTCCAAACCAAAGTAAACACATAAAATATCCCTCTGGATTAGCTACTGTCGCTAGGGGAACCAAAGGGGAGCTTATATCCAGAATTTCAAACTATTCTTTTTAAGTTCTGTCTTTCATTACTGCTTTTATTTTTATTTTTCTATTACTAATGTTACTTTGTCCTTGTTTTTGCCCAACCATTTACTTACGTACATTTTTCTTGATTCCCCTTATCGTAGCACCGTTTGAGCTCCATGCTTTAAATGGAAAATTATATTTCAATCAAGTTTGTTGTTGTTATCATTATCGTTATTTTTATTAGAGAATTGAAGAGCTCAGATGTGGTGCATTAGTGGAGCCATTTGTCATACGTTTCACAAAGGCAAAGCCATAAGATCTGCTCTGCAGGAGAGGCTCCCTGAGAAACACCTCGTTAGTTTGAGCCTGGAAACGGGGTCTTTGTACTCAGGTAATGCTCAGAGTAATTGGCAGCACTGAAGCGGAAGGCAGAGAGAGTACATAAAAAGACACCACTGATATAATTGAGCTGAAAAGGTGAGTTTGACTAAAGCTCTTTTCTGTGACATTTGTTGCAGGGGCAGACTGGAGCAACAGTCAGGTACCTTCAGCCTTTCATGGACGGACATTTTCTGCTAATTCACATCCGGATGTTAATGTCTGCATCAGTATTCAATATACATTTGTAGCAGTGGCGACAGGGGGATTTAAGTTCCGACTAAGCCTGTTTGATCACAGTTTGTGATCAGAGTGGATCAACACGAGAAAATAGCCTGATTCTGAAGCCAGGCTTTTCTTCAGATGTTTATCTTCGAGATGTTTATGTACACCTGCACCTGCCCTCATCGGTCTGAATCACAAAGTGGTGCTGCAAAAGGTTCAAAAACACCCTGTTATTACTAGGAGGCCAGTAAATTCAGCCAAATGAATTCATTTTGTTCTGCTTTGTGCAGGAAGAAGTGATGAAATATAATTCAATAAGAGCAAAACACTAAGCAAGAAAAAGCTGGACTAACTCCCTTTGATATAATTTGGTTGTAAGCAGGATTTTTTCTTGGTGCTCAAATATTTGAGGAATTTGGGACTGAATGATGATGTCCAAGTCGTTCAGAAGAATAATTCTGATAACAGAGAGAGAGAGAGAGATACCCCAACATTAAACATGAAAGGAGCAGAAATCCATACTGATTCATTACTGAGTTAATGAGTCCTCGTCGTTCAACAGTATGTCTCTGTCAAAAAATTTACCGTTGGCACAGTAACAACATGAAAACAGTATTTACAGGTACAGAAGATTCATATTTTCTGTAGTTCTTCACTTAAATGTCCGTCTGAGCCAGTGAACAAACTACCATGACAAACAAAGCCACACAAAGAGCACAGGCACTTGATGTTCTCTCCAGGATGCAACAAAGCGGATGCTGCCAATTAAACAGAAGAAAAAGAATGTCACCAAACTGAAACGCCGTAACCCCCCCCCCACCCCCCGACTCACATTCTGCAACCATGCACGCAGAATTTGAAGAAGACCTTTTAAAAAGACCTCATAAACGAGGGCAGGGATATTACTCAGCGCGTGACTCACAGCATATTAAGATGAAAAACAGAAGATTGAAAAAAAAAAAACAGGCGACCACCCAGCGCTCCTCGAGGCTCAGCAGGTGCCTGTGGTGCTGACGGTGGTGTAGCTGAACTTGGACATGGAGGTCGCCATCGACGTGGCCATGGAGGTGGCGGTGATGCCGTCTTCTCCTGCCTCCCTCCTCCTGCAACAGCAGCACAGGCGACAGAGCCGGTTGCGCCAGCAGCAGGCGAAGGTGGACAGCAGGGCCTTGCGGAAGCGCGTGTTCATGAAGCAGTAAATGATGGGGTTGACGCAGGCCGAGGAGTGGGACAGCAGTTGGATGAAGGAGATGGGCGCTCCTGAGAGGGTTCTGGAGGCCAACTTCAGGTCAAAGGCCTTCCAGGTGTTGACTGTGTACAGGGGCATCCAGCAGATGAAGAAGAGCGCCACGATCACCATCAGCATGCGGATGACTCGCCTCTTGGCCTGCAGCTTGGCTTCTGAGGCGTTGCTGCGGGGGCGCTCGCTTTTGGTCTGGGTGGCGCTGGACGAGGCAGAGAGGGTGGGGAGCTCCACGGCGGAGGAGGGTTTTTTAGACACCTGGACGTAGCAACCATCGTCGTCATCGTTCGAGCCTGCGACAGCCCTTCGAACGCCGTTCTTCTGGCCTGTGGAGGGTCAGAAAGTTTTTAGTGGCCTCCAGCACCGCTCGTGTCTGTATTTAACAAATAATTAACAATAATAATAATTGGGAATAAGAACGGGCTGTAAAGTGTGTAGGAGAAACTACAGTGAAACTCTCAAAAACACATAAGTGAAACAGTTGCTGTAATAATTTCTCTTGTTCAAACTCGCCATTAAAAAAAACCCTTCCTAATACACTTCTGATAAAAATGATTTGATATGAGACAGTTTGAGTTAGACAAATTGAGTGGATATCTCCCAAACTTTGTCTTTTTGGTACAGAATGTCCTCTTTCTGTTTCATTGGACACAAAGTAACATAGTTTTTGTAATAAATCAGACTTGATTCGTCGATCTAAGGCTTTTGAATCAAACCTTCAAATAAACCGAACAAGGACAGTGGATTTTGTCCCCAATCACTTTCACTGAAAGCACATTATGAAACGGGGGTCTTTCAATGGCAAGTGTGAAGGAGGAATTCAATTACAGCACGCACCTGGAAGTTCACCATTGTGCTGCATCACAAAGGAATAAAATGCTATGCTTATAGATTAACAAGGCTATTTCAGATCCCCTCAACCTTGATGAATCACACACAAGACTGGACTCCATGGAAACTGGTGCTCCTGATACACACAGTTACAGCAGCAGTTACAATTTAGCTGAAGGGACCATATTTCAGATCTTTTTCACTTTTCTATGGGAAATTTGAACGTAACTGAGAGGTGGTATATTTTTGGATGTAACAGGTGCAGAACCTGTGGGTAGCAACAAAATATGTCATTATCTGCTTGAGGCTAAACACCTCTCTTCGCAGTTATGTTGCATTATTTGTTTGCCTGCATCGCCTGAAAATGGGTTTTTTTTGCCTCTAAGTGCCTGTATTTAATTTGAAATAAACTGCGTCATTATGGGCAGTTGTCATGTTTGACCAGACTTTTAATAAATCCTGCTGTTTCTCTTTAATGTAATTCACTGCAGTCTCATACAGATACATAAAAAAGTGAAATAGATATTTTCATCCACACTATGAGTTAAATCAATGTGAGCAGAAAGCCTTTTTGCAGTTTGGATTGAATTTATGATGGATCTCACCGGTGGTCTCTGTGCTCTGGTTCAGCTCAAACTGAATGCCTCGGTAGAGCTCTCTGGAGATCAGACCGTAGGCTATAATCATCACCACTCCTGGGACGAAGAACAGAGTGAACAGCAGCAGCACATACCTGAAAAACAGCCAGAATGGGAAAGAGAGTCAGAACTTAATCTGAGTTGGAATCAGGCCTCAAAAACAATCAAACACATCAGAATATCTTGCTGCAGGCTTTCCTCGTGCACTTTCGTGGATGGGTTGGTGCCGTGCTGGAGGCCCTGCAGATGGTCGACCACCTCCCAACAAGCCCTCTTTAGCCCCGTGGTGTCTGGTAAAAAGGCTCTGCAGCATCCCGGGCCAGATCTGCAGATTCTCCCTGCAGGCACCTCAGCCCCCCCTGCGGTTCAACCCTCCTCTACACTTTATCTCCTTTGGACTGTTTTTATTTACCATTCGGGGCATTTATGCTGATGCCATGTTTGCATATAACTGCAGATTTTATATGCTGCTGAAAGTTTACTTATCTGCTGCTACTTAATACCTCCGCCTGTTACACCACTGTAACTCCTTACATTAGGCCGGAAACAGAAGTCTTGCTCAAAGGGTAAGTCTCACTCTGAAATCTTGCAAGGGGTGAGTTGTTGAGACGGCGGTGGAGCCTAGGGTTACGTTGCAGCCTTTACAGCCTGTCTTGCGGCTGCTGGCTGGTGGGCGATCTACTGGATCAATTCCAAAACTTTTTGTACCCATTAGTCATTTAAAATATGTACAAAAATAAATAAATACCTGAATTACCCTTCAAAATTAGCTCTCATGTCCCCTATTTTATATTGCGCTGTCACATTCGTATCTTCCCAACCTGAGGACACACAGTTTGCAGAGTTGAGGCGGGCAAGTTCGACCAGTAGGACCAGTTAGCTGCTGGAGCTCTGACACTAAGAGACAATATTTTCTTTGAGGTAGCAGGTATCCTGTTAATCCAGGGGAAGGTTTTCAACACAACCTTATCAAACTGTTCTGTTGACATATTGACAGTTAACAATAAAACACTGAATATTTGCACACACGAAACAATTGGACCTCATGGATACGACAGTGCACGCTATGTAGGAACACAACAGAAAGAAATATATTAATGAAATGACATGTTGCCAAATACACATAGTTAAACATGCTGTAATGTGACAATCTGCTGCTCCAGGCTGTGTACTTGGCTGTTTTCTGAGCATAAATGTTTCTTTTTTTTTCTTGCACGGAAAGAACAACGATCATGGCTCTCTCTGGGTGCCTGGATGGATGACGCATCAAAGAAAAAAAGTAGTGAAGTGAGTAAAGGGCAAGAAAACTGAACAAAATGTTGACGGAGGGGAATTTTCGAGCAGCACACAGAATTCAAAAGGGCTCAGAGCTGCTCGTCAGTTTCTCACCATGCAGACACAGACCTTCAACGCTGTGCAGCTTTGTTTTAACATGCAGTAAAGTGCTATGAATGAGCTGCATAAGAAACCTCTTGGGGTTATAACAGTCTCACTAGACTCACTATCAGCGAATTAAATGAACCTTTACGTGGAATGAAGGCAGACTGATAGGGAGAGGAGAAGGGAAAAGTAGAAAGAGTAAGCCATGAATGAATAAGATAAAGAAACTGTACAGATGTTACTTTGATCGTAATAAATCTTTACCATCTGCAGCCACATCCCTCTTTTGATTCATCGTAATCAGAGCACGCTCCTCTCAACCACCGATGGCCGTGGTGCACATCAGTCAGCACATGAAAGCGACAGCAGAGAGGAAGAGGCCGGGTTTCATTCATTCTCTGATATTCTAATGTCTTCCCGGGCAACCCTCTGAACTCTGCACAGCCCCTCTCTTCCACTTCTCTTTACATATATATAAAAAAAGAAGGCTTCAGTCACAGCCTCTCATCAGCTGGCTGTTTGATACTGCAGGAAATCTGTTACACAAAAGCTGTCAGGAAGTGAACACGTAGGAGTGCGGGAACACACTGCTGGTGGATATCTGTGCTTGTTTTGCCTCAAGGGGGAAACCCAGATGGATGGAGCTGAGGCGGAGGGACACATGGAAAAAACCTGGATGAATATTCACATGTAGCTCCCTCTTTGGACTGTTCCCACATCACCTGAATGCATGTTGCAATGTTTTTAGGAAATCTTTTAGCGATGAAATTGTGAGAGAACGTTAAAATTGAAAGGGTTTCTGTCCCTGCTGCTTAAAAAAAAAAAAAAAAAGCTGCTTCTTCTTACATAAGAGAAGAGAAGAGTTCGTAAGAATGTCGATACCTTATTGTATTTAGTGTGCACTCAGAGCAATAAACTTAATGAGCAGCATCAGTGGTCATCAATATACGGTCCAGCCCCTTGCCTGAGAGGAGAATGACTGCAGGCGCTACTCCTCTCATATATACACATCAAAATAATTTTCTTAAGTCTGAGGTTGAAGAAATTCATATTATAATAGCACAATAAATGATACTAAATATTCTTGCAAACAATCAAAAGAAAGCTGTGAAGCAGGCAACAAATACTTAATGCTGATGTGATGTCACATATATAATTAAATGTAGAAGAATTGTAGGTTACGTGTGCACTGTAAGCCTTATAATCTAAGTAGAATGAAATGTTTATCAGAAAACGTGGTTGAGACATTCATAGACCAGAATTAGTCCACTAATATCTGCACTTTAGTCCAGAATGACATAGGATGTTGATCAGTGCACGGATCGGAAACCTCAGACTCATACAGGGTCTGGTCATATTAAAATTCTATTGTATCTAGTGAGTTAATTTGCTTCAGTGAATGAGATTATTCATCCTCCAGTCTGCGTAAAACTGTCCATGAAGACACCATGCATAAGAATAATTACGCATAACAATCTAAAATCATTAAATTTGACTTTGACTTGACAAAACTGGTACATTAACCACTTTATGGCTCCTACGTCTCTGCTCATCATTTCAGACTGCGATTTCAGTCTAAAAATGGATGCTTCGGTAACTCTATGCTCTGCTTCATTATGTGCAAAAAAAAAAAAAAAAAGGTGCCAATTTCTTACAGAGAGATGTCGATGAGAAAGGTGTTATCTCCTTCCAATCTGGGTTTTAACCCCTAACCGCTGCGTAATTTAAATGACGGCCATGATGGGTGAAGGAGAAACTGTGAATTAAAACTTGAAAGGACCTCGTACTCTGTGACACATCTGGACTTTTGACATCTGAGCCCAGACTTTCTTCCTCCTCCTCCTCCTCCTCCTCCTCCTCCTCCTCCTCACCGAGCAGACTAATTAACTGGTCTCCCACTGCCTCTTCTTTTCCAGAGAAGCCTTACAGTTTGATAGGCAGTCGGAGAAAAAGAGAATTCTTCGGAGTGTTCGACCACAAAAGGCTGTCAAGTAGAGCGATGTACAAGGTTTTGCCATATTCCGCTTCTTCTTCGTATTAATTGTGCCATCCCGCAGGACCCGAAAGTTGTTTATTATGGACACATATATGAAAATCCCTGAGCGGTGTATCCCAAGATGCTCAAACATATCTTATCCTTAACTGCCTATGCATCTACTTGGGGAGCTTTTTAACAACAAAGCAGCATTTATTGGTCCTCAGAGGCGCGTACATGAATGAATGACTTTCCTAACACTGAGCAACCCAGACCGCAGCCTGCGATCGCTTCTCTCCTGGTGTTTTTGCAAAAGCTTTACTCTTCCATCCTTTCCAGCGTACAGTCAGGAGCAGAGAAAACAATCAAAATGCTACCATGAAGCATCATGCGGTATCTTTGTAATGATGTAGTCTGTCCCAGCTCCTCTGATTTTTTGGTTCGAACCCTGCTATGCTAGAAAACGGATCCATTTCAAACCCTCTCTAATTACGCCTTAAGAGTAACTGCCTGGTCACCTTTCTCATCATAAAATAAAAGTCTCCAGCTTAATGATTTAATTTATTTTCCAGACACCACCTCTGGAACCACCTTTACAGCTGCAGCCCAGGGGTTCAAGCCTGAAAGGGCAAGAATTTATGAGCCCTCGCTCCATCATTAGCTATACTCTGTATGCCTCACATATTTCTTGCTGGTTAGGTAGAGAGAGAAAGGCCCAGTCACACCAGCAATTCAAATTTCACAATCGATTTTTTATCTGAATGGAATCACCATAATAAAGGTTTTCACCTGTGGAGGCGAAGTAAATCTACACAAATCTTTTGTGTCTTGACAGTGCTGACCTTTGAGTTCAAAATGGCAGAAGCTGTTGTAGCTTATTAGCCGTGTTCCACAATCCACTTATATTTAGCCTCCTCTGTTAGAAAGAAAGCGGTTCAAGGAGGAATGGTTTGCAGATATTTATGAGACAGGAGTTAATGGTACTAATATGTCTTTTAAATAGCTTAGTAACTTATTGTCCCATGAGCAACTTAGCTAACAAACAAGCTAGGGAGACTCAAGACTAGAAGGTATTGAGTATATATAATATATAGTATTGAGGTTTGGTAAAATATAAATGAAAAGGCGTCAGTACTCAATGTATAATGTCTTTTCGCAGTAACTGGCCCAACGCGAGTCGTCCCCATGTCACCAATTCATTGTGCAACTTCTTGGGTGACCGGGCTTTCACTCTGATTCTCCTTTAACTGCTTTATACTGAGTGTTGGCTTGTGACACAAACTATAAGCGATATATATACACACACTATACACTTTATCATTGCCAAGAATACTGGAACGCTGGGATCCATTTTACAGATACACATGTAAGATAGGCCATTAGCATTGAATGCATTATGTTCCACATAAGTTACAGAAATTATACAAAGTGAAAAACATGAATTAACTTGAAAAATTACAAACACACAGCGTGATAGAAAGGCTGTTTCAATGTACTGCTCGGGGAACCTCAGAGGCACTGAGGATTTCTGCAGGAAATTTGAGCTATATTACCAAAATGACCAAATCCGCATTCAATCTATTCTCCAACTGTGAGCAATCAGTAGAGAGTGAGCTGCTCAAAAATGAAGTTAGTTTCTGCTTGTCATGGTAATGCATATGTAAATTACACAACTACACTAAATGTAAATCAGAACACATTTGTAACTGAAGCTGAGCAGATTGTATTCAATTCACTAATTGACTCCGACTATTCATCTTGTCCTCACTCATCCCTGTTGAGGTTATGGAGGCACGTCCACAAAATTATTGTCATGCATGTGAAATCTTTAAAAAGGTTTTCACAGACTTTGTGCAGAGTTTGTCCATTCAGACAGGCAGCTGTCATTACAGCAAGCCTCATCACCCAACAAGTCATGCATGCGAGACAGATGTTTTTTCCGTCTAACATTAAAATCAGATTACAGAAATGATTGATGAACTAATGAATGACAGGGCTTTCCTTTATCTGGGTTTTTTTTCACTTTTTACTTGCTTATTATAGGATATTATGTTATTCTTTTAATCAGTTTGAATTAAGAATAACTACATGTACGTTGCAATCTCATAATAACAATATATTAGTATGAATGTGCTTCCCTGACAGGAAGTAGTCCCACCAGTACTTACCAGGTCTGTTCAACTTGCTGGCTGGGCCAGTCCAGGCGACACATATGGCCCACAGTACCGTTGGTCTTGGGAAAAGATCTAAGGACACTGAACACCGGGTAGGGCACCATGATTAACAGCGACACCACCCATGTGGCAGCGATGACGCGATAGGCGTGGGATCGGGTCTGCCACGAGCGGGACTTCAGCGGGTTGCAGATGGCGCTATATCTCTCGATGGCAATGGCCACGAGGCTGAAGGTGGAGATGCTGACGGAGATCCCTGCAGAAAGAAAAGACAGGCAACGAGAAAACACTTAGAAACTAGTCTGTTACCAAATTTCAGTCTAGTATTGACTCATTTTAGCTGTTTAAGTAGTGTACAGTGAGTTTATCAGATCTTTTTCTGAGGCTGACCATGACTGACATGACATTTCTGCTTCAGAGTAAAAACAAAATGAAGAATATAATCTACCTCCTCTCAATAGTGCAAGCATCTCTGCAATAATCCAGGACACTAGGTCTCTATAAGGTTTAACACAAGTCAAATTCCTTCAGAGACAATCCAAGGCCAAGTTGTATTTGCATTTATGAATATGCATAATCTGCAGAGGGGTTCAGTCAGTGCATAGAGTTCTGAAGGTGAGCTGGGGAGAGACAAATAGCATTAATAAACCCATACCTAGCAGCCACAAAGGAGCCCCCCAGGAATAAATTAAACCACACTGATCCTCTGTCGCTACGAGAAGCTACAACCTCAATCCACCGTTTCGCTGTCACATAGTAATCCCCATTCATTGTTCCTTTAGGACGGAAGAACGTATCCTGTCTAAACCATAGCTTTGCATTATCATTCAAGGGAGTCAGTCATTATGTATACTCCTATGAACATGGTGCAATTTAATCTACAGGAACCTTATTAAGTATTTGAGTGGCGGACTGCTCTATGGCTCGGCTGAGAGCAGACGTTCCTCTGTGGGATCAGGCTTTGGCAACGGTCTCTCCTGCAAACCAATGATAAAATCTTAGTTACTTTCCTTTGTGATAAGCTTTGTTATTTGAAGCTAAAAGATATAGGATTTAGTGTCTATTATCAAGTGCAAAACTTAAAAGAAATGTGGATTGCAACCTGGTGAAGAAAGACAACTGTGTGGATATTCGGAGTGGGATTTGATGTGGAGTCAGATAGAAGCAGGAGAACGGCTTTATCTTATCCTGCGCTAACAGAACAAAGGAGCTGAGTTGTAGGGATACTCTGGAACAAAGAGAACATAATTGTCAGAAAAAGACGTCTGAATGCCTTTTATGCTCCGTGAGCAGTCGGAGAGACTCCGCTGTGCATTATTAAAAGCATTTCAGCTCTTTGCAAGAAGGGCAATTTTTTTGATCGCTGCTACGATGACATTAAAACCAGACAGGATCCTACATCAAACCAAAGATAGTTACATATTGTAACTCTAATTCTATGTTCACTGACACAGCCGTCAACCTGGGCTTGGAGGCTTAGCACAGGGGTTTTCAGTACTGCATGAGACAAAAGAGACGGGTACATGGCATGTTCTAAAAACAACAGGAAGTTAGCTGTTTCAGTTTGGCCCACTTTTCGATCTCTACGACTCTGTGTTTACCAAATTTCAATAAAAAAAAAAACCACTCTTTCTCCAAGTTATGATGCATGTATTTTTAGATTCAGTGGGACTTAACAATTTCCGGTTATATCGTTATATCCAGTGTCAGTTATCATCCAGAATTAATGTCCATATATCGAAAAATCATAGTGTAAAATACATTACTTGTATATCCAGAACTTGCCTGAGAATCATCACGGTTTTAAGTATACTTCGGTATCAAGGGAATTCAGTGACAGCTGCCTGTACATCCATGGGTACACTGCAAACAGGAACTGCTAATAGCTAATTCGGCATACTTCTACAAAAAATATGAACAAATATAGACAGAAAACAGAGCTTTAGTTGAACCCACGACATAACTCACCGAATCCCCAGCAACATTATAGGGATTGTTTACATCTACCTACACTTAGACCATTGTTATCGACGAAATAGAAGTAAAACAAAGAGTAATATTAATATAAGCTTTTGTCAACTGTATATACAGTATACCCACACCCATATCTAACTGGGCTCTAAAATTATGTATTTATGTGTTCACTCCACCTGTCATCAAAGAACAAGTGTTACAATTTCTGTTTTTGTCATAGAGCCCTTGTGTCTGTAGGCTCAGTCTCGTCCTGATCGACTGCTGACCACCGCACACAACCGGTCAGCTAGAAGAACCACCTCCAGCTCTGGCTGAGCAGAAGGCGGTGGGTGGCACAGTCAACGCACACACCGGTACTGTAAGAGTCTCGCACAATAAGTCTCTCACACCCACACATCTCTTTCAAGTGCTAACACAGACACAGAGAAAGACCGAATCACACACACACGGGGGGGTTTCTTTTGTTGATGCTTGAAGGCGGTCATGCCCAGCCACAGGGCCTGCTTACAATGATTGTGGAAATGAGGTACACAGACAGGTAGGGATTTCGGTCTATTTCTCTCTTCTATCCAGCATAGAAGGGAGGAGGGATGGTCAAAAGGAACAATAAAAGTAGGGAGTACAAGAAGAAAAGGAAGAAGCACTGTTTATATAGCAGCTCTGTAAAGTGATTTACTGAGCATACACACACAGTAGGATTACAAGATAAAGGGAATTATAAAGAAAGCGGTAAAAACAACTGTAGGTAAAATGCAGATAAATATTTTAAAAGAAACACTATTCAAGGCCTTTGCATGGAATTACATTTTAATGGAAGTTGGAAGAATTTTTGGGAAACAGGCTTAATTGCTTTTTGCAGACCTAGACAATAAGATCTATAGTATTCTCATGTGCAGTAAATATGAAGCTACAGCCACAAGGTGGTTATCTTAGCTTAGCATCGAGACTGGTAGCAGGGGAAAACGTACTCACCAACGCCTCTAAAGTTTAATAGTTAACATATAGGACACTTACATGTTACATCCCTATAGAAACTGCAGCAAAAAAAATCAAATAAACATATTTAAATGTGAAAGTATTCATTAATAAAGTTATTTTAAAGACAACAATGATTTTGCGAGGCTGAACTCATGTAAGGTGCTGTTATCATTAACAGGGAGGCGTGTTTTAGAAACAGGAATGAAGGAACAGCACAGTCATCTTCGCCACCAACCAGCATAAAAACTGCATGAGGAGTCAGGCTATATTGCCTTCTTATGGGGCCAACCACCATAATGTAGAATTAGCTCATTATATTTGGCTGAACACGTGTTTATGCGCAATTTCTCAGTGCACAGACACATGAGAATGAGTGACTCAGCCTACGGAGCCCCATTAGAGGGTGAAGCCTGCGTGAAATAGAGCCACAGGTTTTCAAGTGAGTGATGTTTTCAAACCCTACACTTATGAAGACTGATAGCTGGGAGGTTGTGCACATTCATACTGAGAGGAAGTGCACTTCCAGGTGATGTATGGCACTGACGATGGGGATTTGAATTGATAACACAGTTACAGTAGGCAGACAGCACAAAGAAATTCATAGCAGACCGATGTGCTTCTTTGTCTGAGGGATCAGATTCTTGTCCACGAGCACCAGGCCAAAATACATCAACCCTTTCAACATTTCAGTCCGGGTCTACTTGACCATCTGTTTTATTACTGCCAGGGAACACTGATCTGAGATTAGCAGCAGTACTGCTGGAACAATTTGTTGGCCCTCTAAAGAAGAGTTATGAAATCTTGGTGTAGTAAAACACACTTTAAACTATAATGCAGCAGCTGCATGTAGATCATGCATTAATACTGTATGGGCACTGAGCAACAGTGCATTAAGACACAGCTGCCTTGTTCCTCTAACTTGTGAAACTATCTCAGCAAAAAATGCCTCAAGACCAGTGAAAGCCTTAAACCTCACTTTACATATGACATTTAAATACAATCAGCCCGTTCAATATAACTGCTGCTGGCGTTGCTACATTTTCTGTGCCTATATAAAACGGAGCGGACATTTCCTATTATATGCACGTCTCGTGGGCCTCAGTTATTTCTGTATTGTTCATCATAGTTGAGTTTTCAGACAGCTGCACTGATCAAAGCTTCACTCCAACACTCGGTGCAATATTGAGAAGTTAATGTCTGAGGAGTGATTGTGGACAAGGTGCTGCCAAGGTAATTACCAGTCAACTAACCAACTAAATGCTCACATTTTGCCCCAGCGCTGTATCTTCCATTCTTGGGATGAAACAGAAGCTCTAATCCTTTCTCTTGTTCATTAAACCCGAGGCGGGCGAACGCTCAAACACAGTAGGCTGCTTGATAACTGGCTTTTGAATGAATCTGTGAAGTTTGGAGTCGAGGGTCTCTCAGCGTTCCTCAACCCGGGAGAAGAGATTTACATTCCTCACCTAATTCTCCGAGTGTTTGGTTGAATGTTGCCCTAAAGAAGGCTAAAGGCGTAAAAACTTAACAAACTGAATTAATGTGTTATAGGTGCCAGATGTCCCTGCAGCCAGTTCTGTAAAAGTTTGCTAGAAGCCATGAAAATCCAAATTCTAATACATTATGCAACTGCACCTCGGGGGGAGCTGTCAGACTGAGCTGGTAAGTTGGTTGGTAATTGCATCATATGACCAGCAACAAAAAACACAAACATGGATACATAAATGTGATTGAAGACGGCACACACACACACACACACCCAGAATATTACAACATCGATCTCGTAACTGCCACCCAAACCGTACAGAGCTATGATTCAAATGATTATTGAGCTAGAGGCAGATGGATAGATCTATGGACGGACTGGCGAATAGAAGGATGGATGGTGTATTACATGTCTAATGACCGTGTGCTAACAGATGCGTTTGCAGACGAGGTTTGCCGCACAATCAATGGGCTAGGATAGTCGCAATGAGCCTGCGTATTGATTGGTTCTGGCTGATAAACGGCCTGGCTCATGGGAGGCTCAGATCAGACGCTCGGAGACGGTTTGATAGATGTGGGTAGGTGATGGGTTTTTACATGCAGAAGCTGATATTTGTCAGTGAGCATTTATATGATATTTTGCTCCAAATCATTCAGTTTCATGTCAAGACGTACAGCAAGTCTGTGGTCCCTCCACAGGCAGCACCACATGTTTTATTGTTAGGGCTAAAATCCTATGACTTGAGACCCAACCCAGGATCTGTACGGGTCCAGATCCACGTCAATCGTACCCCGTTCTATTACCCCAGTGTGATTAATATTATTATATTAATCTGGATGTATTCTACCAACTTTTTTGGCAAGGAGGATGAATTATATATGCATCATCGAAGAGAAGGCTACTAACTTTAGACACAAAGTTACTGGTTGACAACTCAAGTTTGGGTCCAATACTTTTCTTCATGGGTCTGGGTCCCAGCTTTCAAATAATAGACAAGTCCTGTTCGGTTCTGGGTCTCGGGCATGTAAGACTACTACTAAACACTAACACACACACACACACACACACACACACACACACACACACACACACACACACACACACAGGTTCTTAAAGTTAAAAATAATTACATTCAGCCCTCTGATAGGCTGGTAGATGGGTAAGTGCAGAGAAAGAAACAGTCAACCTTTGACAGAAAAATTATAGGCATAATAACAGAGAAATTACACATCTTGTCAAACAAGATACAGACAGAGGAAACGCCTAAATAAGTTGCATCATTAGCGAGCCTATTCTAGAGCCCAGCTCGTACATACATCACAGCTCCGGATGAAGCTCCTGCCTGTCACCTTCGCTGCACCCTTTCTTTGTCTTCGGTTCATCTGGACACGGTTGCTTGATAAAACCAACATGCTCAACCCCGGTACGGGGGTTGATAAATTTCACTGTCCCACTTTCTTGTGTAACTTAATTCCTGGTGGGCCCCCATCCTGGTGCTGCTGATCTGATACACCTCTTTCATCATCATTTGAGATCATTTTAATTCTAACCTAGACAAATGAATTAATCATTGTTGTGCAGAGAAAATAAAATGTTGTTGCAGTTTTTAGGTAGCTGAGTCGGGATGTAGCATCTATCACATTTGCAGCGGAGGATTTACTAGTCATTATTCACAGCTTAATAAAAGGCTGCTGTTTATATGGTTAAGTGATTCATCATTCATTATCAGTTGAGCTACTAGTTGCAGCCCTTACTTTGACTGAAATTAGTATGAGTATAAGACAAAGCAACAACAAAAAGTTTGCATTTAAAGTTCGAGGCAGCTGGCCCTCCTGCCCTTCTCTTCCTTATCACAGCTCAGAGAACCCAGTAATTGAAAAGGAGATTCAGCGAGCCTTGTCTCACAGATGGTGCATCACATTTCTGAGACAATAATGGGAATGTGGACCTCGTCATTCAATAGCTCTTCTCAACCATTCAAAGCTCAAAGCTCAAAGCGAAGCGAAGAGACAGAAGTAGTGCAGCAGATCTCAGTTTCTTCGCCGTCCCCTTGTGCTTCAGTCTGACTCAGGTCTCACGTGGCACCTCGACTCTGGCCTGACGGGAGCCAGCTCATCGCTAAGTCACACTCCTGAAGATGTGTGACTGTTCGAGCACTTTCAGCAGGATGGTTACGTTCTGACAGGCAAAATGAAGCCCAGAGAAAAACCTCTCTGAAAGACAGGCTCTTGTTAGATATCGAGCAATTTTCAGGCAGGATTCTTAAGCTGGGGCACATTTTCTGATCGGCTGCCAGCCGCAAAAAAAAAAGGCCAGATTTCTGTCTTAGTGCAAGAAAAACACCTATCAACTCAGTCACGACCGGAAAAAAATCATCTGAAAATTTTGATTTCTCGTTTGTTCTTGTCAGTTCCATTTAGCTTGACTACAGCTTGTTGTGAACATTTCATTTAAACATTAAATGGAGAAGCAATAAACGCATACAAGTGAGGTTTTTGGTGTTTTCTCCTAAATGCAACACTTTTGATTTTGTTCCCCCCCTGTTTCCAGTCTTTATGCTAAGCTAAGCTGACTATAGCTTCATAATTACCGTACACACTTGAGAGTGGTATCAATCTTCTCATCCAACACTCCACAGTTTGATCTAATCTCCACCACTACGAACGCTAATAGTGGTCAACGTTTGTAAGACACGGAAGAAAGGCAGTCTAGGATTTGTCATATTGTAAAATGGTAAAAAATAATGTTTACGAAATTGCAGGCACATAGTGGTCACAAGCAGCAGATGTCAACCTACACAACATATTCTTGCTTCCAGGGTATACAGGAAGTTAAAGGACGACATATTGCAGCAGAGCTTTTCCCTTGTTTCTATGAAACGTGAGGTGGACACAAAGACTATCTTGGTTTGAATTCAAATAAATGTGTGATGCTATAGTTTGTCTTTAAATGTGGACTAAACCAGATCTATAGCAAGAATGAGCCTTGTGACTGCTGAGATAACTGACTCGATAATAGCGCAATAAGTTAGGATTTTTACTGCTCCCAAAGAAAAATGGCTTTATTGATCAGTACCCAGCACTCAGTGATTACTTTGCCAGCTGGACAGATTTATGGCTTCCTAAATTCACTGCTCAGTTCTGAACCAAAAACTATTCACACCAGTCCATCGCTGGTTAAACTTCATTATATTTTATTTAAATACTAAAGCTCAGATCTGAAGTGAAAGAATTCATACTCACCCATAAAGTAGGAGACGGTTTTGCACATGGCGCCTCCGAAGATGAAGTCCTTCAGGATGTTGGGGATGAGCGTGAAGGGCATGCAGAAGATGGCCATCATGAGGTCGCTGACCGCCAGCGACAGCAGGAAGGAGTTGGTGACGGTCCGCATGCGCTTGTTCAGCATCAGGACCACGATGATCAGCAGGTTGCCAAAGACGCTGAGCAGGAAGATGAGCGAGTAGAGCAGGATGCGCAGCGAATCCATCTCTGACAAGAGAGGGGACATCATTTATAAAATCTGTTTTTGCAGCTGATCAATTAAAGGAAGGAAACACATTTGCACAAGTGAATTACCAAGTACGCATCCTTGAATTAATGGAACACACTGAATGAATGTTGTCTGCCCTCTACAACAGAAAATATTAACTTCATCAAACCCTCTCAGTGTGCTCATGTGGGTACTTTTTCTTGACAACCACGTGTTTAATGTCACTGGGAACAGCAATAAACAAAGAATAAGAAGTGGAAGAACAAATAAAAGTGGCAGAAGACGAAGACTGATGCATTAAATGAACTGGCTGGCTCACAAAAGACTTCCACCAGACTAATAAAAACCAAAACAAGTTTAAAAAAATTCTGTTTTCTTCATCTGTATGCAGTGCTTTTCTTGTAATCATTCCAGCAACCCACGCGTTAAATGACATAAGAAGACGAATTAAAAAAAAGTGCAAGAAAACAAAATAACAGCGATACACGAAGAGAACCGACAAGGTTGTTCACCTGGGAAATAAGACTCTGGGCACATAAACAACACCAACGTCTATTACAAGACAGAATAACTTCACATAATCAACATTTTAAATTGTGCTAGTGTCAATATTTTCCTGCTCGCCCCGTGAGCCAAACGATAATTGAAATAATAACACTGACAGGAAAAGATGAAGACAAACAACATCATCAGTGCTGAACAGACTGTGCCAGGTGGTAACTTGGGAATATAACTGGAAAAACAAGATCAAAATTAAACAGTTATTGTTTGCATCATTATCATCTTTCTTGGTACTCTCTGTGTTTTCTTTCTGGTTTATGTCTATACCCCATTAAATGACTGAAATACAATTGATAGAAACGGGTGCGGGACCAGGGGTGGCACAAGCCCCCCTGGAGTCTCATTAGCCACCCTTGGTGCCCCCCTGCCAGGAGTCAATAGGTGATAGTTAGTTGGCTTATTAGTATCATAGGACTGGAGACACTGTATGATGTGACAGTAACATTACTATTATTACAAAATGACTACAAAGATGCAAAATGACGACAATTAGAAAATTATTTGAATTAGAATATTTAAAGTTTAAATTTGGCATTCAGTTATTGCACAGAATGAACAATGTAACTATCAATTATATTATATTATATTATTATAGAACTATATAATGTACAGTTTATTATTGCTAAGAACCAGGGCCTCCAATCATTCATTTTACAAATGAGGACCCTGGCCCCTCCATGAAACAGTTTCTAAATTCGCCCCTGCATAGAAATAGTATAACATTTTCTATGCTCGACGATCACCTGACAGATAAAACTAAGAATGAAGCAGTCTTCTAAAATAAGTGTTTATGTGTTTATGTTTTCCTTCTTTCAGCACTGCCATACAGCTGAGCATCAGCGAGAGCAGGACAGCCCAGCCGGAGGGGTTTTAGGATGCTCTCTTCACTCACACCGGCCTGTCAGAGCGAGTCAGTTTGACAATGAGAGTATCTAACAGGACAAGGTCGGGGCAGGCCATGTGCTGCGCTGACTGAGTCCTCTGATTAAAGACAGCTACATGGGACAAGGAAAGGTCTACAGCAGAGCCTGCAGACAGCGCACCACACATCACCTTAAAGGCAAACACACACCCCTCATTAGGAGTGCAACCAGGACACAAACAGCACTGTATGTTTATGTATAGCACTATATAGTCTATATAAACTGTAGTTTTATTATCATGACATAAGAAATGTTGCTGTCACAAAACATATCTAATTATCATCCTTAATGTTAAACAGGAAGGCTGCATTACAAACTGGGAGCGTGGAACAAGATTTAATGTGTTAGATTAATGAGCTATAGAGGTTCTGCCAGGCAGAGAGAGCCAGGATAGCTGTTTCCCTCTGTTTTCAGTCTTTATGCAAAACCCAGCTAACTGGCTGCTGGCTCCAGCTACATAGTTGAGTGTTCTCAATCTTCTCATCTAATTCTCTGCGAGGAAGCCAAAATGTTCCCATAATGTTGAACTATTCCTACTAGATTAGAAAAGGTCAGGCTGCTCCACAACTTAAATTACACAGAAAGGCTCAACAACAGGTCTACAAGGACTGTATCCCTTAGAGAACCAGCTCCTTCAGCCAATTATACTTCTCTTTAAAAGGTCCAGTGTGTAACACTTTTGCTTCTTTTTTTTCCCCGCATGTTTCGTGGCCACCGTCTACAGGTTTGGTTGTGGCGAGGGGTTTTCAGTTGGTGCCAATGAATCCTACACACTGGTCCTTTAATCAAGTACATTACCAACTCAAATAAGAGACCACTTATCACCCCTTCACAAAAAGGGAGACTACATAACTTTGGTAAAGAAGAAATAACACAGTACACACACACACATGCTCAAGCCTTACGTGGTCTGATTTGATTGTTTATTTGAGGGCTCCTTCTCTCCAGTAACAGTCCCATGCTGCAGCAAACATTATATACTATTCTACTTTTAAAGAAAATAACAGCAGCTTGTTTGAAATAAATAGAAATATGTTGAGGAAATCTCTGAAGCCGTAGCCAATATCACTTATCGGACAATCTTCAGAGGAACTCTGCAGCAAAGATAAAAGTAGATGAGGTCTGGATTTGAACCCAGGACACTGCAGGATGCATGTTAATCACCTCTGTCACCTGAGAGACGCAGTTGCCCTCAACTGCAAATATAAATTATTCTTTTGATAAGAAGATCCTCTGATAGCTTCGAGAGTAGTTTCATCAGCTAAGGGACTGACACCACGGCCAAGTTAATATAAGCAGCATCCACCCTGTTTCAGTCCCTGGAAGATGAATCGGCAGCGCAGGTGACAAGTTTGACATGAGTTTTTGATTTACACAGCAGCATTACAGGATGTGAGAGAGGCATAATGGGTTTTAACTTTTGAGTCTTCCTACACAAACAACAAGCAGCGAGCCCCCACTGGCTCAGCAGCTTCTATCGTGATAGATTCTGTGCGATCCAGCCGAGTGAAAATGGAATTATCTATTCACTGAGCACCAGTTGTACGTTGGCTCCCCTGAGCCTAACGACAGCAGGACGATTCACTTTGGTTCCTTTGACCCTCTCAACTGCTGCGTTCAAATCCACAGGCAGCCATAAATACAGCACAGATAAAAGGCGTTCACCTCGTGCGCGGAGGTTGTTGAAGTGGAACATTTTACGCATGACCCAGGGATAGGAGAACAAGGAAGCTTATGTTAGGATTGTGTCTATTTATTTAACCTCTATTCCTATTGTGTATCCTACTGGCTGCTGCTATTCAAACTCTAATTATGTTTTCCCACAAGGATCATTAAAGTTTCATCACTTCTATATCTTCAGAAGGAGGATTAGCACGACTTCATATTGACAGCAAGTCGTTTGAAAGTTTTGTCATTTATCGGGGGACGTGGAGGAAGAGGGCTTGTCATGGATTGACTGATGGAGTCGGATCTTATTATGATACATGAATAAATTGGTATAAAAGAAGATTGATAATGAGCAGTAATAATCTTAGAGGTGATTTAACTGAGATGCAAAAAATTGCCACAGTTCTGAACTATCCTTTTAATCACAACTTTGCCACAAGGCTGTATTTCATACTCCTGTTAGATGATGAAATGTTAGAAATGACTGTCAGCTCTGTCCAAATCTGATGTTACTCCTAATTACAAGTGAGCAGAAAGCCCTTTGGAATTGAACCTGTGAAGCAGTCGACATGAGTCAGGAAATTAGTTCTGAACTTACGAGAATCAGCAATTAATTCCCTCTTCTCAAGTACCGCTCAAGTAAGCAGTATTGTCTCTGCAACATCTAAACCAGGGCTGCAACTTTTTCATCGTTGATTAATCTGTTTATAATTGTCGTAGTTAATTGATTACTAACTGATAACTGTCACGGCTCAGGAAACGCAGGATTGGACCCAAATACGAGACAGCAGCAGGATGACGTTAGTGACTTAATACTGATGCAGCGTACAGGCCAGTTTACCTGCTAGGTAAACAGATACAGGTGCAGCAAAAACAAAGCAAAGAACCATCAAGGCAACAAGGGAGAACGCAACCAGGATGAACTGACAACCAGGACCAATGAACGCACACACTAAGTACACTGAGGGAGAGGATAAATAAACAAAGATGAAATCGGGGCGGGGCAGAAAAGTAAAGGGAAAACAGTCAAATACAGGAAGTTAATTGTTATGGCAAAGAAATACACAGGTTTGATTGCCATTAAGGACACAAACAGAGCATGTTGGTGCAGTCAATGAAACATAACATTGTTTGTATACAAGAAAACACCACAGTGTAGCTTTAACCTATATATACATATATAGGGTTAACCCTAACATATATATATATATATATATATATATATTATATATATATATATATAAATTGGTCCAATATAATTACATTTCCAAGTACTATTCTACTTGCCATTGTTTCTTTCATTAGGAAAACATGTTCTGATTAGAAACAACTTTCGGTCACTAAGTCAGAGACAAGAAAGAGAGAAACAAACTTGAAGGACAATATCGTCTCTCAGTGACAGGGCAGAAACGGTATAACTGACGGTACACTCACACAGCATTAAGACAATCTCCATGTCATCCCACCTGATCAGATGATTTTGGCAGGAAGGTGAATAAAAACAAATCAATCTCTGTAACTTTAGCCAAAAATAATGAACTTGTCTGTGTCCTTTGCTGTAATTTACCTTCTATGGTGTTTATCTGCTACACAGCATGTGAAAAAAACTGGCTGAATTCAAGTCAGTCCAGACTGTGTTTTGAAATTGATTCATTTTTCTCTGAAAGGCTTTCCAAGCACAAGGACCTGCTGGATATTACATATAAACATTTGTTTCCTTGTAACCATTCTTGGTTGTGTTTTGACTCTTAACTAGTAAACACTCCAAATTGTGAATAAACTACTACAAACATGCTTGCTATGAATGTTTCCTCAGGATGGAAAGCTGCTTCGAATGCCCGATTTGT